TTGCATATAAAAAAACAAGATTTGCCTCTCTGTGGTCAACAGCCACCTGCAACTGGAAAGGATACATACCAAGACAGCTTCTGTGTTTGAATGTGACCCTTGCTTGTCCACACATTTGGAATTGCACAGGGTGGGTTGAGTCCAGAGTCCTTTTGAGTCTAAAGAGGAATCCAGTGCCCTAAATGACACAAGAGGCAGCAAGGTAGATCTGCCTCCATACACATGCAAAAAGGGTAAACTTTCAAAGGCAAAATGTTTGCAGACCTTGCATTCTGTTCCATCCAGTCCTTTTTGGCTCCCTTGCTGGAACGTGAAGCTCCAGATGGGAAAACTAAGCATTAATTCCCAGAATATGTTTGGCTTTCCTAGTACAACTCTTAGAAGAAGAAGCCGCTATAATAACTGGATCCTGATCTATCTTTGCAGGTAAAAGAATAATGTACTCACGGGAATGACCTGCTTACTTGGTGCAGGCTTAGCCTACTACTTGGCCTGAAATCTTCAGCGTGTGTAGTCAAATGTAAGTCCCCCTGAGTTCAGTGGCTCTGTATACTATCAAGCATATTATCATGGAAACTAAGCAGGGCTGGGCCAAGTTGAAATCTGGATGACTTAAATATTGTGAACTGTCCAGAGAGCTTCGACTATGGGTGTTACAGAAATTTAATGTAATAAATAATAAGCCTCACTCTTAAAATGAGTCAGGAGTGTTATTAATATATTTAATTAAATCCTATGGCAGCTCTATGTTGTCTTGGTTGGAAGACCAACTTCAGAGTGATCCCTTCTCTGTCTTTGCAGTGGCCGCTGGGCGAGACACTGACATCCTAGGAGGAATTCTGGCAGTATCTCGGGCACCTCTCCATTTGAGCCAGTCTAAACCAGTTAGATTGGCTGTCTAAGTATTTGGTGGAGGGCAAGGGAAATGTGGAGGCAAATCCTCACTTCCACCCTTAACTGGATTGTCCATGATCTCCTAGTTTGAATGTTACAGGCAGTATCATTAGATTAAAAATCTTTTTTTCCTTTTGCCCTTTTACGCAGTTTTACTGTCTTTTCTATTTGAACATTACAAGTGTACGGATCCTCAGATGTATACATTAATATTAGTGCTATCTTTTGTAGGGCTGTTTACTTGGAAGTCCACAGGCTCTACAGCAAATACTACCAGTTTACGTACCACTTATAGGTCACACACTATCTTGCAACAGACCAGTACAAAAGGCAGCACCCCGTTTTTGGAACCTTCACTTGATGTCGCCCAGTCATCTCAACACTCTTGCAAAACACCCCTTTACAACGGTTGGCTTGCTCAGGTGTAATGAAGCACGGCGTGATGAATGTACTCATTCCTGGCAATGCAACTGATGGGGAAAGAAGAGCATCTTGGCACCTGGACAGCATAGCAATGTAATACTTTCACAGTGCACGCTTACATCGCATGTTAAGGCCAACCTTGCAATTAGGCAGGCAAAGAGGACTTTGAGTCACCATTAAGGAGCAGCAATATCAACCATTTAGTTTCTTATGGATTGGCTCCAGTGACTTTTCCTCCGACAGGAGGAATCTTCCTCTGCATGAGGCAATGACTCTTTGGATCCAGTTCTTTTTTAGCAGTTTTGTAGGGAGGGCACCATTTAAATGACATGCCGGCACTTGTGGTGGTCCAGCTGTTCCAGCCAACAAGCACCATCTTACCTCACCATTGCTTATGCTAGCTAAGGAGGATGGGAGTTGTAAGCCAAATCATCTGGAGGGTGATACATTGCCCACATATGATTTACATTTTCTGCTCAGGAACCAACATCTCTTACACCATTATCTACAGGATGTTTTGGTTCATGCTGGCATGGCTTATCTTCATTGATCAGGATACACATTATCCATTAAAAATGGATTTCAAGTGAAGATTTCTTACCGTTCTGTAGGTTGTATATTTAACCCAGTTCTTATTTAGCCTGAAATAAATTTGAGGTGTTTGATATTACTGAAAATTTCAAAATTTCTTAACCATGAAAAACCCATCATGGATAGGTAAGTTTCACGTATGAATGAAACCATTATTTAATTTGCTAATCCCTTGAATTGTTCTGTGCTACCAAAATCAGGTTATACTTGGAACAGAGGATCCCATAAGAGATATTTGCCTGTTGAAATCAAGAATGGATATATTAAAACTATTGCGCTTGGTGAACAAAATCATAATATGAGAGGCAGTGACCAGCTTTTCTGGGTACATAGACATATTTTCGGTACATGAGTTGCATTTTATTTCACTATTCTTCTAAAGAGTAAAAATTATTCCTTGTAAGAAAACTCAATGAATACACTGCTTCTTTTGCAGATTTAGACATAATTATTACAATTTATTTAAATATTACAGTGGCAAAACCAGCCAATTAATTTCCCATCTACATCATCTCAAATAAAATCAATTAATTTGCACTTTGCTCCAAATCAGCCCAAATGAATAGAAAAAGGGTCTTTTCTCCCTAAGCTTCACTACCATGCAGAGGAAGTGTTGAAGTATTTGGGGAAGCAAGCATGAACCTTTCCCACTTCAGCTGTAATCCCCTTTGAAAATGGTCTCCTGCGAGGGAATTAAGCTTAGCAGAAATATGGCAAATACACAGGGGGCCTTGGGAAATATATTTAGAGCTATCAACACCTGTGCATCAATTTTCTCAAGGTGTGGAAGTATCGGTAGAAGGCCAAAAATGCCTTCAGTGCTTTAAACATGCACAAAGGGTATCAGGGCCCCCTCCACATCCCTACATGAATGCTGAGTTTTTGCTTGAACTGGCTTTCCGCTCCACTTAAATGAAGGCAGCACATACTTGCAAAAGTGGACAGAGCCTTTCTCTTACTGTGAATTGAGAAGTCCTGGCAAATATGCACTAACAGGCCAAGTAAATGACAAAAAAGTAGCCAGACTCCAGCATAATCACCATTTCTGCTGCAAGCATGAGACGGGGTTGGGCTTGATGTAAGAAACTTTATTGTCTGGCTTTTTTCTGAATGAGCAACTGTTTGAAAGTAGACATGGTGGGCCAGCCTAAGTGCTACTGGGTGTTTTGTCCCCCTGAAGTAATCGTCAAGAGTTCTAACCATTGTGGCGAGTACCACTGCTGGTAAACCAACTCACACCACATCCTGAAATGAAGCCAAACCGCTACCATGTTGGATCTGCTCTTAGCAGTGATGATAAGGGGTGAGAGGGTTGACAAAAGCCTCTGCTTTCCATGGGTCCCTGATGAAGCTGCCACTAATGCTCACAGCCACCAAAGCACGGATCTCTGCTCTTACCAGTGACAGCTCCCTAGTCTCAAGAAGGGTCTTTCCCAGTCTTGCTCCCCAAAATATCTTACGTGGAGATGCCAGGAATTGGATCTGTGGTCTTCTACGAGCAAACAGGTTGTTTAATGCTGAGCTACCTCCCCTCCCCAGCTCCACTCAGTAATTACACCATTAATGATCTTGAATTTCCACTTCCAAAAGCAAAGATACAGCCCCCCTGGGAAAGAGAAAGTGATGAAGGTCCCTCATGCTTTGCCCCATCTCTTTGCTAAGCAGCAGCAGCATCAGTGGACTTTTTTTTTCCTTTTGTCCTTTTCGGTTCAGATCTGCACTTCCACAAGTGACTGCATTAAGCAGAATCATATCCGTATCAACAGTGAAAAGCAATGGTAGAAGTTATAGCAAGCAAGACCCTCACCGGTCTTTCCCCTCCCTTTTTCCAAAATTGTCCCTATATTTTTAGAAGGCTAATCCCAAGAGAGTATCTTTACATTTAAAAGTTATATCAAAACCCCACTGGAACGAAGAAATGGTACCCAGAGCTTCCCAGCCAGGAACAAGCCGCAGTCCCAGTGGGTGGGGTGAAAGGGGACAGGGAAAAGGTTAGACCCCAGGCCAACTATGTCCCTAGGGCCGGGGGCAGCTGTTTTACTCTCTCCCACACAACTCAATGATTGCCACTCTTCTTCTGGAAGGGAAAAGGAAAGCACTGAGGACAATATTATGGTCCAGATATAAAAGGGCCCCTGAATGCCAAGGAATGCACTGGAGTGGCCAGAAATGTGTCTCTGTATGTAGAACAGAGATCCGTTCTAAAAATTCCAGTCTAGGTCTCCCGATAGCTAAGCCCTGCCCCCACATATTATATGCAGATTTTTGTAAAGCACATGGGAGAGGGGAAAATATATAGCTAGCTTTTAAAATACAGCTTCGCTATAGCCATGTAAGACTTCCAACACTAGTTCAAATAAAAATATGTATTATTAAAATCATATTGCTTTTATAAACAGTTTTATTCAACATAAGCCTTGGGTGGGAGATCTTGAAGCATCTTCCATTTATTTTGTTGGCTAAATTACATGTATAACAGAAATATTGTTGTACTTTTCAGAAATATCTCTGAAATAATGACAAGTGACATTGCTGAAAGATCTTTATAACCAGTTGGCTTTAACAATTCAACACTTCTACAGGACAATCCTGAGTACATATCTACTCAGAAGTAAGCCCATTGCCTTAAATGGGACTGACTCTTAGGTGCATAGGACTGAAGCCTTAATTCTACTTAGTAGCTGAGTCATAAATTCTAAATTCCCAACAAAGTACTGCAGAGAAATCTTGATTGTTTTTGTTTTAGGAAAAAATAGTTTCTCTTGGAATTATGTACAAGGTAACTGGAACTTTCCTCCCATTCCACCTGCCCCCATGCTACAAAAGCCAAAAATATTTTTTGAGACATCAAAATCTGAGCTCCAACTGTGTCCTAGAAGATTATCAAGCAATTTCAATTGAAGTAAAAAAAATATCCTTTGTATGCAAACCAAAATGCATGAAATGCTTCTCTTTCACTTCTCCACAGAAAAACAAACAACCAAACAATTTCATTCTCCCATTCAAATGCTTTTAATATAAAAGTGCATGGATGAGAAATCCAGTTTCTTAAAAAGACAGACAAAAATGAGATAGGAAGCTTCATAGCCCACCTTTCTTCTTGACTGGCATTCTCGGAGTTATTTCTGGCACTGGATGCAAGCACTTATTTACCGGTATCAACACAGAGTCCCGCTGGGATTGTCTTGTGAGGTCAGAAATCTGTCATCCGATGCGAAACACTTAGTTCAGCTTAGAAACAGGACTAAATCTTCATTTCCCACAGTGGTGCTCACCGTTTTCTCCAATGAAAAACTTCCAACACCACCCAGTGGAATACCAAGGGGAGGAAGCAAAAAGTTGAGAGAATTTTTGCCAAAGCAGTTGTCAAAATCTGTAAAATATTTCCCAATCTATAAAAATATACAAGAGAAAACACCCATCATCCTACAAAAGTGTATAAGAATCCCTCTTGTCACAGCCAAGGGTTTGGTTTGTTTGATTTTGCAGAAGTTAAGTGAATGTAGGAAAGACAATTAAGGCACGGTCCAAGTCTTGGCAGTCCTAATAATCCATTTCAACACCTTCCGACACCACCTAACCTTCAAATCGGTTCTCAAATAATCCAAATAAATTTCTGAGGAAGACAGAAGCCGTTCAGAGGGACTTTATGTGCTGCATTCACAGCTGACTTTTGCCAGTTAGATACAGCTCTGGGTGTATACCAGGGTCTTCGGCATACTGGAAAAAAGCTCCCTGGCTTCACTTGGTTACCCAAACATCAGTCACTTTCATTTTTATTTTCTCCACCTGCCTTCTGGCCTTTAATGTCCCTCTGATCCTTACTTGTATTAAGCCCAAGAGGATTGAAAGCAATCCCTCGACATGGAATTATTAAAGTGACAGTGCTATTCACAGGGCAGGCTGATAGAGCACTCTGCTGTACACTGAGAGTCATTGATGTCTCGCCATTTCACTCTTTGCTCGCAGCAGCTGCCTAATGAGAGAGGAGCAGAGTTCTGAGAAGAGCTTCCCCGAATGGAATGCAAAGAGACTGGAATATTAACGCAGTGCGAAGCGGGTCATCAAGGCAGTCCAGAGTTTCCCCACTTGCTGGCGCAGCTGGTTGACCTCACCATAACCTCGGTATTTCCCCCCTTTTTTCCTGCAGGAAAGAAAAAGAACACCATGACACAACCCTTTTCACCATGTCAAAAACAGAGGAGATTTACCCTCCAAGTGTTTCTTTCCTTTGATGCATGCAAACCTACAGGACAAGCTACACATAATGCTATGTTGTAGTTGCCTTCTTTATACAGCAAACACTGTGCTGCAAAAGTTAATTTCTGCTATGTTTTGAAGCACTCGTAGCTTTTCTGCATTTACATACAGAGATTTTTGTTTCTTCATGAAGGGCTACTCTGATATGCTGGTGGTCTTATTGTTTCTTAGTACTGGAAAGATGGGCTGCGTTAGGGCAGAGATCTCCCTCTTTCATCTTGAGGGACAAATCCAATGCAATGGATGAGGCTGAGGAGAAAATGCCAGCATATTCAACGTCATGTCAGCCTTTCGGAATGGAGAAAACAGGCACACAAGTCAAGAAACTTCAACACTTCTTGAGTGGGGCAAGGGGCACTGCCTTCTGAGGAACCCCTTTCTTGTGAGCTGGGGCACCAAAAAGCCTGTATTTGGACCCTGGGCCTTAGTTTCTGTCCCCTGGTTTAGGGTAAAGAACAAGGCAGCAGTCAGATGTGCCTTCACTTCCATCTGCAGAGAAGCCAATCAGCTGCCATTTCAATTATCTAGCTTTTATGATGCGAAAGTTACAGACTAGCCAGCGCTATTTCAGAGTACAGAGCAGGTCTTCTTGCAATCAACAGATGCAAAAGGTTCAAGCAGACTTCTGAGTTTTAGGTATAAAAGGAAGTTGATACAAGGCTGTTAGGTATGGCAACCACTCCCTCAATTCAAGCTGAGTGGACTAACATTCCCCGTCAGCAGGACTCTTTGAGCACTGGATTGCACTGCATTTCCCTTTTATATGAGGTCCAAGTCACCCCTTCTTCCTCTTCTTCACTAGGAGATTGTTTCCGACCACTTCGGGGAGATTTCTTCGACTGCCCCGGAAGATGAGACAAGCGCTAGGTGGCACCTCTCTAACCTTTGTTTCTGCTCCCCTGATGCCAAGAGAGCATCGTCCCCCTCCCTGTCAGACAGATCAGCTCCCAGTTCTTCTTAAGGCACTTCTGCAAAGTTGCTGAGCCTGATCCTACATGAGCGTGCTTGAAACGGCAAGAAAAATGTTTATGGGGAGGATAAGCTTATAGCAACCCATAAGGGCTATGAAGGAGGAGCAACATGAATATGGACCGCAGTTTCAGGTGTGTGTTCAGCACAGTAGTGATAAAAAAGCAGCACAGAGAATGTGGAATATGGAATTACTTACTGTGGTATATAAAGACAAGTCTGTGGGAGGGCTGTGCAGCAAGCAAATCAAGTTGAGTCAATGATATCCAAGATGGACAAAGGATGTCCAGAAGGCGTGCAGTGGGCAGCATGATCTCAAGGATGGAGATGCTGTGCAAACTGGGAAGGGGCAAGGGATGAGCTGTGAAATGGATCGGGTTTAGTCCTCTTGGAATGGGAGGACATAAATGAGAAAAGAATTGAGAACGTGGTTCAGTCAAAAGTCAGAGAAGTAGCATAGTTAGAGGAAGAAGAGGCAGGAAAGGGATTTGCAAAGGGAGAGAGAGAAGTAGGGCCAGATTAAAATTTGTGCAGGAACATGGGCCAATCACTGCGGAGGGAAGACGGCAAGAGGAAAGAGGAACTGGACCTGCAAGTAAGGGAGGGGTCAGGGATTTGTAGGAAACTACTGGAGTGTAATAGCAGCATACAGTTGAGTCTGAGAGGCTTATGCGGCCATTTATTTATTTTAAACATTATAAACTGCTGCTTCATCCACAAGAGATCACAAAGTAAATAAGTATAGTTCTAAAGCAGCCCAATGTATTCCAAACAATCAAAGCAAATCAATGAACTTAAGATGTAGGGCTATTCAACTAGTGCCAAAAAGAAAGATAAATTTAAAATTCCTGAGCAAACAAAAACATTTTGACTCGGTGCCCAAACAGATACAGAGCTGCATCTCTTTCTGGAGGCCATTCTACAGCTGGGATGCCAACACAAAGAAGACCCACGTGTCTGTAAATGCATAATGGACTTGTCCCAGCAATGGAACTCGGAGAAGGGCCTCGTCGGATTATCTCCATGCATAAGCACAATGATATGGAACGAGACAAGCCTTCATTTATTTAGTCCCCAAGCCACTTAGGGCTTCAAAGGGAGTAAAGAGGATAAGGTCATAGAATTATTGATCATAGCAGAGTTGGAAGAGGGCAATAAAGCCACTGGGTCTAACTCCTTCAGTGCAGAGCTGCAGATTAAACCATCCTTTTCAGATGGCTGTCCAGCTGAATCTCAAATGCCTCTAGTGTGGGAGAGCCCACCACCTCCCTCGGTCAGGGGTTCCATTGTCCTATAAGGCTACCCTGCATTCAGGTATGGAGTGCCATGCTGGCTTAGAGGCTTTAGGAAGGAGAGCTGGATCTCTGCATGGGAGGTGAAGGAAGAGGAGCTGTGCAAGGGTGAAGGCAGTTGGCACGGATTCAGAATCACAGAACGTTAGAGAAGAATAAAAGAGACAGGAGTCAAGGCAGGCTGAAGGTAGGGACAGGAAGCAGAGGGCCAGAGGAGCTGGTCAAGTACAAGGGCATGAAAAGGAACTAGATCAGCTGAGAGTATGAAGAGAGGTTGGGATGAGGTTAAAACAAGAACAGGTTGATGAAAACAGTGGGGCAGGTGAGCTCCAGGGACCCGGAAGAGGAGGCACGATCAGATGTGCAGTCCTGCCTGAGGTGGGTTTGAGGGCAAGAAAAGAAAACAGCACTGGAGATGAAGGTTAGGTACAGAGACTTGAGGGGTGGGGTGAGATGGTCTTGGACCACATGAGAGCAAGGATGAGAACTGAGGATTACAAGTGTGTGCATAGAAGCGATTGGGAGAGATGCATTTTCAAAGGTCAGTAACGGACAACTCCTTAGGCAAACCCTGACCCCTTAACGGTGCCAGCTGCCTCCTTCCCTTCGGCAGCCAATCTAGGGGCAAAAGTAGAGCCTGGTCAGAGGAACTTTGGCATGCCACAGAGGATGAGAGCAAAGAGAAGGGTCAGAGATGTGGCCAGCCCCACTTGCCAAAAATTAGCCATAAACATGAGTTACCTGAGAACAGGAGGGTGCAGAGATGAGCCAGCAGGGTGGACCGGACAGAGAATCCGCGAGAGGGCAGATTGCCCACAGTGAGATAGTGTGGACCTGTGACCAGGCATGGGTATGTGAGAAATCCATGAAATGAGTCAAGGAGACAGTTAACATGGTGAATAAGTGGTGTTAGGAGGATCAGAAGAGAGTTGGGAGAAAGTTCACTGAGGCAAAGAGGGAGCCTGTGCACCTTGCTGAGGGCACTAATGAGGCTGGCAGGAAACAGGGACTCAGGTGAATGGTTATGTGAGGCAGACCATGATAAGGTGAGTGTACAAGCAACAGTTGGTGAGGAGGAAGAGAGGCAAGGAGGAAAGGTATGGGGTGGTGGTGGTGAAGACATTTTGAATTCCGTTAAATCGCCCATCACCAAGAGAACTTAGTCAATAGGATGCGTAACCAACAATTACATGACCAGTGACGTGTCCAGTGACTAGCAGAGAATGGGGCAAGACTCCGGAGCCTGAGAGAGGGGATGAGGAAGAGGTGACCCAATGAGTCAATTATATTTATTAAATAAATATAATTCTGTAGTGCAGTGGGCTAAAGAGGCGGGGAGGGGAGGGCGACACTCAAGAAAAGGTTTGTGAAGGGGGTGGCTGAAAGGAGTACACTTGCAGGAGGAAAAAGGTTAGATCAGCTCTCCAGAGGTGCTGAGCTGCAACACCCTTCAGCCCCAGGTGAGGCCAGGGCTGTTGGGAAGCTGGGTTAGGCTAGGCTCAGCGAAAGCCGAGGCTGGGGTTGATGGGAGTTGTAGTCGGGAACATCTGGAGGGCTGTACCGAGCTTAGAGAAAGCCAGGGCAGATGGGAGTCGTAGTGCGCTTCTGGGGAGCAGTAGGCTGGATTAGAGCTGATGCGACCTGTAGCCCAGCCGGCTGAAGGAGGGAGAGGTGAGACCAGGCTAAAGGCAAGCTGCGCCTAGGCGGCAGTCTGAGGGGAAGGTGGGCCTGATGGGAGAGTGAGAGGCGGTTACCCGCGGGCTGCTGCGCCCCCATCGAGGGCTCGGCGCTGGCCGGTCCGTCAATCCGTCGCTCGATCGGTCCGTCTCAGCCCGAGCCGGCCTGCTTCCGCGCGCGCCGCGGCCGCCTCAGCGCCATCGCTGCGGGGACGCCGGAGCTGACGCCTCTGCCGACGCCGCTGCTGCTGCCCCGGCCGCCGCCACCATCGCCGCCCGCCTTCCTCGTTTAGCAGCGCGGCCTGCCCGGCGCGGCCCAGCCCTCGGATGGGCCGGCCGGGGCGGGAGCGGGCGGGCGCGCGAAGCCAATGGGAGGCTCGGGGGCGGGCACCCGGCGGCGCGGGCCAATCGGGCGCGAGCTGCGGGCGGAGGTCACGTGAGCGCGCAAGATGGCGGCCCGCGCGCGCTGGGAGTGAGGCGCGGGAAGGCGGTAGCGGCCGCCGAGGCGACGTGGAAGGCAGCGCGGAGCAGGAGAGGCCGAGCCGGCCGGGACGCGCGGGGCGAAGGCGCAGCACTGCGTGCCCGGTGAGCGTTGGCGGAAGTGGTTCGGCGGGCTTGGAGGAGATGAGCGCTCAAGGTCATAGCCGGGCGGCCTCCAGGCGGTGGGGGCTTGCGGGGCGCTCGAGATCGCCGCGGCTGAGAAATGATGGTGGGGGGGGCGGGAAGGAGAAGGGGTTCCTCGGCGACCTACTTAACTATTCGCGTGCTTGCTTAAAGCAAGCCCTTTCTCCTGTGTAAGTGCATCGGAAGGAAGACTCGCGTGCAGAATTCCAAGGTAGCTTTTCTAATGGACACCGGGCCTCGCCGGGGCTGATAGTAAGGGAAAATGAATGCATAATAAACCTTTTTAGCTCGTGGTGCTTCTGGGTGGGCGGCGGCCATTGCAGAGTTTAACTCCCCAGGTTGTCGCTCGGTGATGCACTCGGAAGAGGCCTTCTGCCGTCTCAAATTAGGACTCAGACCTTTCCCCCAACCCGCCCCCCAATATTCATGCATGTATTTCGGTGCATAGCCGCGCTAGCAACGGAGAAGAGCACTCACGGTTCTCAGTCTTGCGTGGGATTATGCGCATAAACCAGAGACCCCACTTAAACCGCCTCCCTCAAAATAGGCAGTGGACATTCCCTTGCTTCGTGCAATGTAAATCACATTCGCTTGCATACAAGTATGGAAGAACGACTGTTTATTTGCACTTAAGGACTCAGATGAAATACCGCAGAGCACAACCGCAGAGAAAAGAGATTCAGTGCACTGAGCCTGCCAAACCAAACAAGACTGCAGTTCAGAACAAATCTGATTACATCTAAAGTGCTTTTTACCTTTGGATGTTTTTAATAGGCATGGATTTATAAGGGATAACAACATTGACTTTTACTGCAATTACTTGAATACTGAGAAAAGGGTTGTTTAGTATTAGATTTGTATCCTGCTTTTTCCTTTCAACAAATTCAAAGCAGCTTACATAATTCTCTTATCAATTTTATCCCCACAACCCTGTGAGGTAGGTTGTGCTGAGAGTCTGAAAGTCACCCAGTTGGCTTTATAGCCATGCAGGGACTAGAACCGAGACCGTCTAAGTCCCAGTTCCACATTTTAAACCACTACACTGGCTCTACCCTTGCACTAGAACAGCCCTCCCCAAACTGGTGTCTTCTATGTGTTGGACTACAACTCACATAATTTATAGCTAACGTCAGTAATCATGCTGGGTGGAGAAGAATGCTCTAGAATAAAGAGGTATCTGTAGCCCTCCAGATGTTGTCACCCTACAGTTCCCATCATCTCTCACTATTAGCTTTGTTGACTAGGGCTGATGGAAGGTGCGGTCCAACAGTGTCCGGAGCGCCTCGTGCTTCCCAATCCTCCTCTAGGGGAACTTGAGTGTATCTGGAGATTGTGCTAAGCATTACATGCCCAGGAGATAATGCACTGTTATACTTGGGTTCTTTATTTAGCCCTGGCAAGATTTTCTTTGTCCTCATCCAATATCTCTGAGAATTGCGGTTCAACACTATCTGGAGGGCCACATATTCCCCCTCTCCTGCACCAATTTATACAATGACTCAGTTCTTTGGTGCTCCCATTGAGCTCTGTGGGGTAAACGTGTAGCATAGCTGCAAGACAGATTCCTGAAGTCTCTTAGGAAAGCTTCCATGCCCAACTTAGACCTCTTTTTAATTTTGCCTATACAAATTGCTGGCTGCTATTCACCTTTCTGGATAGAAGCATCTGTGCACAGACATGCTACAATCCCCTCAGATCTGATCTCGCTGGCAGCTGGATGTAGAGTTGTAGGCAGTGCAATAATTATCAACATAGGATGCTGCCTTACATGGTCCCCTTAGAAATGCTGTACTGAGTGGCAGTGGTCTCTTGAGGGTTTCAAGCAGTTATTTATTTACTTGATTTAAATCCTGCTTTTTTCCAACAAACTTGGAAGTGGCGTACATCATTCTCCTGCTGCTCTCAATATTATCCCCACAAGAGTAGTCAGTGACTGGCCCAAAGTCACCTGGTTGGCTCCATGTCTGAGCAGGGACTAGAGCCCAGATTGCCTCTTTAACCACTACACCACACTGGATCTCTGAATGGCGTCTGAATTGTCCCTGTCTTTACCTGAAATGCCAAGGATTCAATCCAAGGTGTTTTTGCATGCAGCGATGGTGTTTTATCCTGCTCTTCTACGTAGCTTTTCCTTAGACTTGTGGAGCCAGGAGTTAACAGGGTGAAACCTGGATATATCCATGGGAGGGATTTTTGGTTTACTGTTCATCAAATGGACTCAAGCACTGAGTTAGCCCGAAACTTATGTCCAACCTTTGATCAGATTTTTTTACAAGTTTAACAACAACTATTGGTAGGGAATGAAACTCAGATCAGGAATGAGTTGCTGGGGACATGCTTTAATAATAAAATGAGAAGTCTGATCAAGGATGTCCCCTAACAGCTTATCTGTTTTGCACACTATCCCTTTATTTATATAGTTCACTTTTGTGTAGTTCTTCCTCCAAGCAGCTTACATATGGGATCCAGGAAGTGCAAAGAGACAGGCTTGCTCAGCTACAGCAAAGCAACAGAACTGTATAAAATGTCCTTATGCTACCCACCTGAATTGTTCATGTTCTTCTTGCACTTAGTTTCACAAATACCAAGTACTGTTTTTACATAGACTCCCTCTGTTTATAACAGCTTCATAATATGTTGTGCCTGGATAATTAAATGCATTCCTATTTCAATTTCCTGTATTGTTTCAAATGTATCACATCTGATTTCAAAAGAAATCTGTATCAGCATTTTAGACCCTTTTTTCCAATGCTCCAGGGTCTAAAATGGGAGGAAGGGTGTTTCTTGAACCTCCCTTAGAAGAAAGAGCTCATTTTGGAAGAAATCAAAAGGAAACCCTACAACAGAAGTTTGAACAGCTTCCAGCAGATGAACAGTAAGTGATACACATCATTTGCTTGTGGACATTTTCTCATGGCAAGTTTGCTACCATTTTCAAACCATGATTAGGCTCATCATGGTTGCTTTCCTCCCTTCCCCTGCCTACTTCACTTTTTTCCCTCTCAAGGTGGTATCCTAGGGGAAACCATAGGGAAGAATGTAGCTCCTTTCTTTGACGGTTGTAATCACGAGCCAACTTCTGCTTGCTGTGGCTGTGAAGCAGCAGAGTGTATGGGTGCTAACCACGAGTACTTTCCTCCTAGAGAAGCCCTGGACTAGGTGAAGATGCTCCCTCCTTCGCACCTCCCTGTGCCTAGCCCAGGCCCACCTTTCCCCATCTGCTCAGAGAGGGGGGAATCTGGGTTGGGCTGGAAACATCCAAGAATGCATAATCCCTGCTTAGAATAACTTTTTGTCCAACTGCAACAAAAAAATGGACAAGCCCACCTCCCCACTTAGGAGAAAGGCATTTTTGTGGGTAGCTTGCTGTCTGCAAGAGCATCTTCCTCCCAAGCACGAGGGGGAAGTGAGAAAGGGTGCTTGGGTTGGAGAGCACGACACATTCCAGAGCACCTTTCCCAAACAGGAATGAGAAGTGGGGGTGGCAGTTACCGCCGCCTTCCAGAAGCAGCACCTCCTAGCTGATTTCCCCCCTCCCATTCAAGTACATAAGGGGAGCAATCAGCCGGGAGGTGTTGCCCCAGTTGGGGGCACCATCCTCTAGCTCATTCTTCTCCCTCCTGGTTTCTCACGAGTGGTTTCCACTTCCATTCGGGGCAATCAGCTGGGCAGCACTGCCAATCTGATCAGCCCAGCTCATGCCCCCAAAATCTGTGGCTCAAGGGGTGGGGGGAACTGTGGCAGCTGGCAGCCATGGTCTTTAATTAGGTGCCTGGCAAAAGTGACAGCTACCACTCTTCCCAAACAGTTGTCTCATTCTGGGTTTTCTACCACGATTACTGTTACTGCATTATTACAGTGGATTGTATTGTACAAGTCCACATAAAGAAACCTTCAGAACACACATTTGTGTTTCATCATGGCTGTCAACCATAAGTCACAATGGCTGATCACCACAACTGCACCCACACAGCTTGACAAGCAACTAGTGGGTTTGTTTTTCATCCTTCATTGCTTGTTATGTCGTGTGAACTCAATTACTGCCTATGGTTGTATGTCACAAGGGTGGCATGGTGAATTTTACCACTGTTCGTCTGCCATGCTGCCACAAGCCAGCAGCATTTTAGAACAAAGTTTGGTTTCCTGAACCTAGAGAGATGAAGTGGTTTGGTGCCGAGAGTTCCATGCCTCATCACAGCTGCTCATGCTCTCCAGACATGGGAGTTCCTTTTTACTGCAAGTCAGGAGGAAACACCCTCAAGTCTATGGAAAGAGCAGCAACAGATGGGGCTGTTCTAGGCATGCAATCTCTACTACTGGCAGCATCTCACTTTCATTTTAACTGTTGGCTGAGCAATGTGTGTATCAAACCGTTTGTCATGTATGTTCATCTGGGCAAAGCTCAGGCACACACCTGAGGTGCTTGTTCTTGTAGAGATGAAAGAGAAAATGGGTGAAAGCACAGAAAAAGCTGGGGGGGTGGATCACAGCAATACTTATTTTAATAAGAAACCCTTTGGAGGCTGGCGTGGCTCAGATGTAAAATAGAGATGCAGGTAACACTTGGGAGGGAGAACAAGGAAAACCCACCTCACAACCTCAGCGGATTAATCAGGATGAGGCAGTTGAAGTCCGCAGGGGGCAGGACAGGGCAGGACAGGTGAGAAGACAGAAACCATGCAACCCTCTGCCTGATAGTTTAAGGTGTGCAGTATGGAAACATGCAGTATAGCTTGCCATGATGTGCAAGTCTACTCACTGAGTAGCTTTTGAGTAACTATTCTTTTGACTACTATTCATAAAAATGGAAATGCAACTATTTCTTCCATATTAAGAACAGCATGTTAGGATTCATTATGTGTAAAGCTGCTGTGTTCTACACCATAGCAGTTTGAGAATTCACCTTCACTATCTATGCAACCATTCAGTCTAGGTATTTCTTAATGGGTTGTGAAGGAAGCTTTTTCTCCTATGAATACAAAGTAGGCGGAAGGGGAAGGTTAACTATCTTTGCTGCATCCTGTATACCTCCTGCTAGTAATTAAACCAATCAACCTGATGTGCTCTGGCATTTAAAGTCATGTCTATTTGCCCCAACTTCTTTACATGACCATGTTACCCACAGGCAGTGGTAAGAACCTCAAAAGCAGGAATTCTTTTCATAATGATTCAAGAAACTGAAATTTTCTGATACTGGGATGTATGAGATTTCTAATCACTGTATTGCTTTACATCTTTCAATGCATGTTTTAGCCTGATAGGATTTAGCATGCTTCTAGCCAGAGACAATGCTTGTACTTTTTATAGTTGAGGTGCTCTCTTCACTGTGCTTCCTGTCCCACTTCATGCAATTTTGTTTTAAGCTGGAGGCTTCTTTTTTGAAGAACAACCACCCTTTGTGAATATCAGCCTGGCAATCTTAGGTTACAATTCTATGTTTACTGGATAAGTTCCCTATTTCAGTAGTGTGTATGAGCAAGTAAATATATAGAATTGCAATCCTAAGTTTTTTGTTACTGCTGTATATTTAGTACAATAAATACTGCCTCTGTGAGAGAATCAGACAACTTTCAGCTTTTAACTTTGTAATAAGTTTGCTCAGGAATCTACCACATGGTATGAAATTCCTCTGGCTTTAGAAACTTACTTGCTTTGCATACAAGAAGAATCAATTTGTAGATTAGTAATTTAAGGCTAAGAACTAATGTTTACAACTTCTGTCTCTTTTCTCTTTCTCCAACAGGAGTTTTTTCCAAAGTGGATCTTCCTTCCTTGGACTAAATTCAAGTCTGTGTGGCTTAATAGCAAATAGTTTTTTTAGGCGTGTCATGAATGTTACCCAAGCTAGGGTTGCATCTGCTTTGCCCATGGTATTTCTGCCCTTCTTCACTACTGTGGTTGCTTATGAGAGTGCAATTAACTACCCTTTAATGGAAGGTATGTGTCTGCATCCTAACTAAACTGTAGCCTTGGAAATATCTGTAATAACTGTCATGTATTTCCTAAGAAGCAGAATGCTTGAGTGACACATTTTAGTGACTTTTGAGAAGGCACTGTTTTACCCATGTTGAACCAAACTGGTCGTAGTTCACTTACAGATGAGTTATCTAGCAAAGGACAAGTTAAATAAACACCTCTCACATATTTCCAACTGGCAGAATTTGAATGAGCTGTAAGAGGTGTTCTATAGTTAAGTTAAAGACTCATTGTCTACAGTAATGTAAGTGCATCTGTTCTGTAAAATAGTAAATGTTAAAATGACAACTTGGTGCCCAATGCACCAAACTAAGATTTACAAATTTCTTATTCTAATGAAACTCTTATTCTAAACTATTATATTTCTAAGTTGGCATCAACACTAGTTTCTAAAGCACCCAGAACCAAAAGCTTGATAGGTGAACCAACTCTGTGTACATTTCAGAAGAGGCTCATTTCATTCTTTCCTTCAAAACTACATCTTTGCTCCCAGAAGTAAAGACCCTGTTTACAATTGCTGCATTGTACAATTAAATTACATAAAAAACCTCAGTCTTCCATCTTGCCCAGTTATGTAAATATTAAAGATAAATGCTTGAAATGTTAAGAGTAAATGCATAAAAAGCATCTAAAAGCATATAGGCAATATATAAAATACTATAAAAACTGTATAAAGTTGAGGATGCATCCAACACAGTGGCTTTATTTTTCCAAGACCTGGTTCAGTTCATGTCATAGCATAGGTCAGAGGCAATTTGATGGCACATAACTGTTATTTGTATCATTTTATTTTATACATTGTTGTAGATCACGCAAAACGCTTTGGCTATGGGACGGTCGAAACATGAAATAATTTCACTGGCTTACAGAAGCACAAAAATATGATACTGCAGCAATACTTTTGCAGCAGATAACAGTTTAAATTTGAACCGTTCCCCATTATTCTGACAGTATTTTATCAAAATTAAAAAACCTAATATTTTGGTAGGGAAGAATTGGTACATGAATGTCCATAATGCTGTGTGTGCCTGATGTATGAGTGATGGGAAATAATTTGTAACCACTCATCAGTTTTATTGGTATGTTTTTCCCCAGGTGATTTAAACTGTGCAACTTGTGCTGCCATCAGAGGAGGTGCAGTTGGAGCCCTTATAGGTGGCATATATCCTATGCTTATAGCATTGCCTTTGAACGGTCTTCTTGCCATCAGGTATACTTTTAGGCCTGTATTTAAAACAGCTTTGAAAATACTTCACATAGGACATCTTGGGGAGGGCACTGGCTGGAGGGAAGCATAAGACCATCCTTAAGTGCTGTTCACCTTGTTGAGAAGACAGACAGCTAGTCTGCACCCCTTACAACTGGAGAACAGAAGGGAAGGATGCTTTGGCCCTGTCCATCAAACCAAAGGACTGCTGAGCGGTGTTTATCAGTGAGTTTGTGGGGTTTATATGCGTTGAAAATTGATTGTTTGAAGGGGAGGATATAGTAAAATTTCTTAAGAATAGCTTTCCTGTCTGCTCTGTCTTTTCAGACTTCCATTTTATGGAATGATCTGTTCCAGCCACAAGCATTCGTTTATACAGTTTTATTGGTGAACAGTAGGAGAGGAGATACTTGAATACAGGCATGGCTAATAGCTTAGACTTCAGCTGCTTGTAACCCTTCATTGTAATTCAGGGTTTGGGTACCTTTTACTAAAGGAAAGGCTATTGACCCACTGAAAAGTCAATGATGAGGTGGGCGGCTGTGGGTGAACCAGAGCTCAAAGTGGCTAAGTTTGTACTGCTGCACAGGGATGGAGTGTCACAGAGAAAAGGCTGTTTGTTGCACGTGTGCTTCTACACATAGGAATGGATATCCTGAAGCACGGTATACAGAGCTGCATGACACAGCCTGCTGTGAGCAGGCGACAGGTCTCCCTGTAGGGAAATGCTGTAGATTTTGATAAATGAGCTGCTAAGATGTCATTTGCCACCTATTTTCAAAGCCTAATCCTGGAGCTGTAATATTAACTTTTAAGTCTTCCTCACATTAATTGCCTTCCTAATTGAGCAGACAGTAAGTTTTAGAAGACTTCAGTACGTATTTCCTTTTAGTTCCTTTAAGCTAGCAAAGCGCTCCTCTGCAACAGTGGCAATTTTGTAGCTATGGCAAGTAAAACAAGTAAAGTAAAATTGGTTTTATTCCTCAGGTATTCCTCATCTCCCATGCCTACCTCAGAGAACATTTTGCAGTACTACAAGATGATTTGTAAACCAGTTTTCAAAAAGATGACATTTGCTATTCTCCTGCAATGTGCATTTGGTTCTTATTTGGCCTCAAAACATCATGAAACATATACTAAAGCACTCCTGTTGCCTGACCCTAGAAGGGATCCTGAAGAACTGAATGAATAAAACTTGAAACTACACAGCCTTGTTTTTTCTTCTTATAAATTTAACTTCCTCATAATATTTTGGTGGTTCTCAGTTTGGGCCATATGGTTCCCTAGGGGCCTATGCCATATTTCTAGGGATGCATAGTAAGAACTATATTCCTAGGGAACTGCAGTGCAGATGAAGTACCATTTTTCCAGCTAACAAAGGTCAATAAGATTAATGAGGCCCAGAAGGTTGAGAACCTCTTAGTAGTAGTATTGTTCTATGTACTGGAGGAGCTGAGGTGGCCCAAGTTATTCATCTGCAAATTATGATACAGTTTGTCTTGATCCACACCTACCCCATCCATGCAGAAGGGCATGTAATCATCCCTCACAGTTCAAGACATCTTGGCTCAGGAGTACTAAGATGAGCAATTCTAGGTCAAATGGGTTTGGACATGCACAGTTTGTAAGTGAATACTTTTTACAATGACAATTTGTCCTGCAGATTTAAAAGAAGTTTAACTGCAGAAACCTATCCATTGAGTTGCAGTACTAAGATTTACATTATATGCAAGTTGAAGGTCAATTCGCCCACCACAATGCAATGTAACTTAAATGTATACTAGTAGTCTAAACAAAAGAAAAATACTATTGCATATGCCAGTACTGATTCAAGACTTCCTGTGTTAATGGAGCTAGCAACACCCACATGCCAACAGAAGAAAGGTAGCAGCACATTCTGGGTAACTACAAGAATTGCAGATATCCAGTCTTTTAAAAAAATGCCCAACCCCTCACCCCAACAACTCATTGGCACAAAGTATTTAATGAACAAAACTGACCATTTGGGAGAAGAAAATGAAAAAAGGCAATATAAAAAGAACCATTAGATCACTTACATGGGAGAGCTATTTTATAAGCCGCTTCAGGGACAGAACTGTTGAGGTGGCTAATGAGTACTCTAGTTTTAATACGCTAGGGCTGGGCATTAGTGGACCCCTTCCATAAGTCACTGAGAACTTGCACATGCATAATGGGCACAGAATGCTGACCATGGGGTGCAGAGGCAGAAGGGAAACCAGAGGTGCAGAGTCACTGCAAACTTAAGTGCTCTCTACCCTAACACTGCATCTTTTCTTCAACCAGTGTTCAAATCACTTTAATTTTGTATCACAAACTCAGAACAAAGTACTCTGAACATACTACAGATCTGAAAACAGATCACACTTGTAATTACATTTAGGCATGCTTAAAGTATTCTACAGTATATATGGGGGAAAGATTCCTGTGCAACTGAGCCCATAGACTCATTTCATTTGGCATAGGGAGAAACCATTCCAGCTCCTCTCGTGAAGAAAGGCTTCCAACATGTGATCTTCAGCCAGGTCTATTTCCTCCCTGGAGCACTACAGTCGCCCATCTCCCTCCCTCTTAGCCAAGAGTACTTTTAAGCAACTGCCCTCCAACATGTAAATCCTCATGTCAGGCTGCAGCAGCTGCCCGGTTCCAATCCAGGAGTGCTGCCACCACCCAAGGAAGGTGCGGTGCAGTCACTGGCCGCTGTGGTGCTGGCACAGGCAACTCTATGACAAGGGTCCTCAGAAGCTCAGAGCCTGCTGGGCGCAGTAGCCTTCTCTAGGTGCCCTAAAGGAGTTCATAAATTCGTGCTGGCCACTGACCTGCTCTTGACAGAGCTCAATTGTGCATCTTGCAGAGAGCGGCCCCTGCCTCCACTGAAGCTAGTGCCACTACTACACAAGTGCGTATGTGTAGGGGCTTCCTCCCTGTAACATTGGCATGTCTTGAATATTCCTTTGCCTTTCTTTAGGCTCAGAAAAATGGAAGATCTCTCCTGAACATGGAACACATCATAACCAACTTAAGCATAAGGAACACACGGGGTTTATTTTTTTACTCTGTTCACGTTAAGGCTTCTCATGCAAATTCTTGGACAGCCAAAACATCTAACTCTGCAACATTATTTGTGTAAGCCTCACCCGGAGCTCACATGAACAGGACCTCCCAATCCAAATGCAGTGAGGGACAGCTGCCACGCCAAGAGCTTCGATGAGCCTAACATGCAAATTGCCAGCACAGGTGCCAGCTCTGCTCAAGTGTGCAGAGAAATTAGTACCACTCAGCCCCCAAACTGCAAATGAGGATTTTGTGCCACCTGGGTACCACTTCAGAGAGCAGGTGTGATGTAGCAATTAGGAACGTGGGTCTGGGTCTCAGGCAAACTGGGCTCTAATCCCCACTCAGCCATGGAGTTAACTGGGTGACTTTGGGCCAGACCCAGCCTAACCTACCTTGCAGGGTTGTTGTGGGGATATACTGAGAACAAGGAAACTGATGCAAGCAGCTTTGAGCTCCTTAGAAGAAAAAAGGTGGAATATAAATCTAATAAAGGAACACAAAGGCAGGTATGTCAGCCAAAAGCCAAACTGTACCTATTTTACAATAAAGAGCCGCCATCAAAAGATGTTTACTTCCGTGTGCAAACAATCCTATGCCCTTGGGCCTCCTATGAAGAAGCTCAGACACATTGAAAAGTTCTATGTCAAGCTATATTATGTCTATAGACTGACATATAATCTATTGTGAATTCCAACTATCAAGTAAATAAATACTGACATAAGCACAACTACAGCCTGAAATACGTCCCTAGCAAAGCTTTTACGAATGTTGAGAAAATGCTTTGGAAAACACTGGTCTATTTTTTCCAATCAGATCCTTTAAAAAGATAACCTTACCTAAAATATATGCAAACTTTTCTTTTGGCCGAATCTCAAAGCTAGTCCAAAAATGTTAAAGATAGCTACTTTGTGGATAAAATGTTGCAGATTGACTCATGCAAGTATCCACTTTATTGGAAACATGACTCTCCACAATTAGTAGGATGCCAAAGGATACAGAAAAAATATCCCCCCCCACCATACTACTAAGCTGTTTAAAAGAAGAAAAAAAGAAAGATGTTAATTTGCAGTGATAAGATGCATAAAAATTTATATCACATTTTAGAAGTGAGATATTCAGCATAAACCCTCTTCACAAATTGGTATGAGGCAAACCGAGAAAGAATTACAGCATGAACACACTTCAGAAGTTAAATGTTGGAAATCTTATTTTATCCCAATATTATTGTTCATGGCTTTCATCCAATGCTGATATAAGTAAAATACTATTAATATTAGAACAAAATGTAAGCCTATTTTCCTCATGGGAAATGTCTGTACGTCATTCCAGTATGCTTCAAACAAATACATACTGGTACAGCACACAATGATCAGCCCTTTAGCACTATTTTTTGCTGGCTACACCTCTTAGGAGACAGATGTCACCTCTATTAAACAGTCAAAGTTGTATTTATACCTCTTTAGGCAACACTGAGATGTAAAGATGTCACCTTGTTCTATCATTTGAAGCTCCCACCAAAACTACTTAAGGCACTTTCTGACAAATGAACATCTCAGCAACGCATGCGGCATACCCACCAGTTTTCCTGTGCAATCCATAATGATTTAACCAAAAGATTCTAATTGTGGAAGCTACTGGCATTTACTACACAATCATGTTTTAAATCAAAGCTGGTAAAAAATCTTTGGTATCTGCCTCCTCCAAAGTGCCTGATCCTGGAAGCTAAGCAGCGCTGGGCCTCGCTGAAATCTGGACGATTGACTTGAGTCCTGCACTGAGCAGGCGGCTGGACTAGTTGGCTTTCCAGGCCCTTCCCAACTATATGACTCTTTATTCTAGTGACACACTAAACATTTTTTCAGCACTGTCCTTAAAGTGGATCCTAACATGTGTAATTTATGAACAAGGATAACTTTTAAGGATGGTCTTGAGCTAAAATCTTAGTCATGTGCATAAAGTTTTCAGATATAGAAAGTACGTAAAAACTGCATTTTCAAGACCCAGTGTGGTAGAATGGTTACAGTACTGAATTATGGCTAGGATAGCCCAGATTCAAAGTACCCCCTCAGCCATGAAACTCACTTGATGACCTTTGGCCTAAGTTACCTTACAGGATTCTTACAAGGTTAAAATGAGAAGGAAGCATGTTCCCTATACTTTGTGCTCCACAGAGGAAAAGCACAGAGGAATAGATAGGTATATTGAAGTTAAGGTACAGGCAGAACTAAGCCACACAGATACTAAGGTCTTATGCAAATACGTAAGAATAGGTTGCTGATAAAAATATTCCTAATAACATGGTCTTAAAAGGCAACCAGCAGAGGAAAGGTGTGATCTGAACATAATGAATACTGCAGGCTGTACTATGTCATAACTGCATGTTTCCCCACCAAACATATACATAAGACATTTTTTCCAATGGTCAACATTTTGTGCAAGAGAAGCAATGTTAAGTGCAGAATAGAGGTTTACTCCTCCCTTTGCTGTTTAAATGTCAAGAATTCCTTACTTTGCTGTTTTCATTTGTCTACACACTTAAAGAGAATAAACAGGATGAAGGATTATAAAAACCCCAGTAAAACATGTCTGACAGAATGTTACTGTCTCATTTTTTATTACTGCATCACCATAACTGGAATCATCTCATGCATGGAAAGCAAAATGAGCAGTGATCTCTCAATGACCTAAACAGGGGGGTATGGCTTGAACACCTGGCAAGTCATTTTCTACACTGATGGTAGTTATGAATTTTGATTTTTTTACTGTTATATTTTAGAACTTTATGTATACTGCCTTGGGATTGCCCTTAGTGATTGTGCAGCTCAGAAAATTTGAAGCCAAGCCCTAACACAGCCAAATATAAAGAACATGCTAAACAGCAGCAATAATCCATTCCCAACCAGAGCAAGATATAAGCATTTATGCAGTTTCAAAAAGAACCATGGTATTGCTTTGATACCTCATACATCGGCTCCCAAGTAAACCACACAGCCAGCATTATTTTTTTAAATCTCAAATTAAATTTAGTGACTTTCAATAAATAAAATCCTTTGAGCCTATAACTGGAAGATAAACACATCTCTTTTTTATTAGGACACTGTGTTCTCATAAGTATGACAGAACTAGTTACACAGAAGCATTCACAAATTTTTCAAGCTCTGTTAGGATTATTCAGTTCAAGGCTTCCATTTCAAAAAATATTTAACAATAGTCCACCAACTGATTAGCAAGCAATAAAGAAAAAAGTTTGCAATTCTATTTGGCTTTAACATGCTTCAGTAGGCACTAAAATCCCTGCAGTCCTATTTCTGGGCTTTTAGCTAAACCTGTGTGTCACTTGCCATGCTGTGGATTAGCAACTGCTTCATCTGCATTCAGATGCAGCAGCTTGCTCTTCAAAGGGCAATGACACGAGTTAATTTAAGTACCCAGAATGTTTTAAATCCAACAAACTGTTTTTAACCATACAAAATGAAAAGGGGAGGAGAAATTCCACTTTCACAGTAACGCTACATTAACAAAATGTCCAATGTGAAAAGCAACCGTAAAAATGCTTCAGAAAATATACCAAGTAAAGCATGTGTTAGCAAGTAATGGCCTGTCAATTGGAAAGAGCCACTAGTACCCTAAGTAGGAGGAGACTCCAGCAAAGAAACTAAATTCTGGAAAGTCAAAGGAATTACTAGAAGGGCTGTACAAAATGAATTACTCCCATTAAAACATACAGAATATTGAATAAAACTAGAATATTCATATTCTGTCAAGTGTCAGTGTAACTACAGAGCAGACTTTTTAGAAAGCAAACAGGATGGGCCTTTACCAAGATATGAACTAGCAATGGGTAGGGGAACAACCTTTTCTAAAGGAGATATGCAAGTTGCCTTACCAGCAACTGAAAGTGCAGATAAGAGCATGTGGCATTCTACAACAGATATAAGAGAAGAATGTGAGCAACCATATAAATGAAAAAGGCAGATTAAAATCTCCCTTTGGCTGCAATCCTAAACTAACCACAAAAATTCCTAATTAGGATCAGGCAGATAGTCTTAGCAATGTTGAGTTAATGTACAAAGGATTAGCCAATTGAAGGAGAAAATAACTACACTGAGAAAGAAACTGCTTTTTTACGTTGCCACTTTTCACATTAGTACTATATTAACTTTCTTGATAGGTTGGATTAGTGACTCAAAACATTCACATTAATCTGTATTGCTGTTTTAAAGTGAAATACAGCAAATGCCCTGTTACCTTTCCCCTTTTTCTCATACTACCTTTTAAAATAAAGCAGGAAGTGTGGCCAGCAGCTGGTCCCGTATCTTCTGCCCCATGACAGCTGAATCCACTTTAGCATAAAGAAAAACAAGGATGCTAAATATGCATATACTTTTTTAAACAGCAAGGTTTCACAAAGAATCCCATTTTGTTATAAGTTCAGTTTATTCTAAGGATCAACTAGTTCATTAGGGAGAAAACTCCTCATTTACGTTCAATTTAAACAGAAATATTGAGAGAACAGGAAGTATATGGAGAAGCCTCCTTTAAGATAACAATTTTCCAGACTTAACATTCTTTGTGAAACCTCACTTTACATTTATTTTCACAACCCTTATTACCCCAATTTACAGAAATTTAAACATAAAATATTTTAATACAACAGAAAAAGTTGATGCAGAGAAAATCCAAAACCAGCAATACTCTTGTTAACAGAAATTTTTCCTCAACTCCTAGACATGGACAGTTGCATGAACACTATGAAGGATGTTCGTTCACCTACAAGCTTCTCCTTCAATTATAAAAATATCAGACTGGCATTCCAATTTAGTTTTTCTAGTTTAGCAAAAAGCAGGTGTCAGTAAATTCATTAAAAACAATGAATTTGAGTCATTTCTATACACTGCGGTCTTCAACACACTGCAGTACGCTAAAAAGACAGTGCTTTATTGATACCATCTGTCAATGAATTTCAAGGCTGTTGCCTGCAGTCTTCTTTAAATTTGAAGAGAAGACTGTTACTTTTAGCAAAACTAACAAGACAGAATAGCCAACCTCAAGTTAGGAACTTGGTAGTTTCATGTGGACATGTGCCCTACCCTGGAAAAACAGTCAGAATTTCATTATCAAAGATCTTCTTAACTGTAAATACCAGTGCTCTACACCACTGGGGAAATCCCAGTTCTAAAATAAATTTATGGGGCTAACCTATGCCTTTAAAATTGATCCTTTCCATTTCAATTAAAATGTTCATATTCTTTTGCCACAGTCAAAGCTTCACTGACTATGGAGAAATGCTGGGTAAAATAGTTTCCAACATGTCATGCTAAATGCATTCCAGACATAAGGAAGGGGGGAAAGGCTATGCTCATTTAAAGAACCTTTACGTTCAACTTGCTCACTCAAAATGAATTGCTTCTCTAAAATATCTCAAAGACTTCTGAAAGACTTGTCCAGGCCAAATAACAGTAATACACCCAGACTAAGCATCAATGCAAAACTGTCTGATATCATATTATGGGAATATGATGGATCCTTACCAGGTTGCGAGGTGGAAAACGACTTTTCTTTTAACCCCTACACAACGGAGCCTGGCAGGGCAAGCACCTAAAAGAGAAACTGTCAGAGAAGTTTAATAGTAATGTATAACAGATGTGTTACAATTTCACATGCATGTTTTAACTGTCTGCTGGATGGTATTACTATTTTGCTTTAAATCTGTCCAGTGAAGATGATGTATTCTCGGCTTTCCAACAAAGCAGACAAGATCTTATCTGCTAGACAGCGTTATTTTTACTGGCAAACAATATTAACTGCCCTTCTGGCCATCATTCTTGCCAAGTTGTTGGTTTTTTTTTAACCTGGCAGTGTCCAAATATGTCATCTGTACGTCAGCATGAGAGATGTTTTGATCACTGTAACTTAACAGGTCCTCAGTTACAACTTTGGTATACTCTACACCAGAAGCCACAGAACTGGCACCCCAGGAGGATCCTCTGTTCACCCACGCGTGAACCTTTGCGTTTTTTTTACCCTCTGCTACGAAAGAGGCGGCACGACCAACGCACCAGTTTGCTGACCACCCCCTTTTCTGCTTTGCGTTTTTTCCCCTCTCTCTCTATCCATTCTGACTGCCTCTCCCACGAAGCACCCCGTGGAAGGCAGCAGGCAAGACACCCAGCGAATTCGTTCAGCGTAGGAGTGAAGAAGCGGAATACTTGACCCTACATTTTAGCGGCGAAGGAGGGAGCAGCGGCGGAGGCGCCTGCGAAAGCAGAACTCGCCGCTCGCCGGGCGCACACGGAGCAGAACTCCACCGAGACCCGGTCCCGGTCGACGTGGAGGCAAATGCCGCCGGGGCTCGGAGAAACCGCCCACTTGTCCTCTTGCTGCACCGGGACCGGGAGCGCGTAATCGTGGTCGCTGCTGCTGCCGCTGCTGCCGCTGCTGCCGCTGCTGCTGCTCCTCTCGCGGGGCAACGGGCCCTCCAGCGGCGGCGGCGCCGCCCGATCCTCGAACAGGCTGCTGCTGATCCTCAGCCCCACGCGGCCGGCCCCGTCCCCGGCCAGGTGGCTCAGGAGGCGCCCCAGGGCGCTCTGGTTGGCCAGCACGGCCCGCAGGTAGCTGGTCTCGCGCTCCAGGTCGCGCAGGCGGCGGCACAGCCCTCGGTTGCGGTCGCGCAGCTGCCGGTTCTCCGCGGACAAGCCTTGCAGGCGGCTCTCCAGCCCCAGCACGTACTGCTTCTTCTTCTGGCGGTTCAGGCGCGCCGCCGCCGCCGCCTTCAGGCGGTAGCTGCCCGGGCGGTCCGGCCTCGAGGCCGCCTGCGGCTCCGACGCCAGGGTGGGGCTCAAGCCCCCATCCCCGTCGCCTCCGGCGATCATCTCCCAATCCGTCCGCGTCTCGGCCACCGCCGCCTCCAGCCAGTCCTCCAGCTCCAGCCCCGCCGGGAAAAGCAGCTCGTCGCCGTCCGGCTCGTCCAACAAACCCGCCGCCGCGGCTTCCTCATGGTGCGGCTCGGCCTCGCCGCCCTCCTCGCCCGGACTGCCGCTCCCGGCGGGCGTCCCCTCACGCGGAAACGAGCAGGCCGCGGCGGGTTCCCGGGGGCGGCCCTTGTCCGACGAGGAGGCCGCCAGCAGCTGAGCCAGACTGTGGCGCATAATGGCGGGCGGGCGGGCAGGCCTCGGCCCGCGCCCCGCCGCACCTCTCCTGGCAACCCGGTTGTAGCCCCACACGCAGCCGGGGTCGAAGGAAGCCGCTGAGGTAGGCCCGGCGGTGCTCGGTCTCTAGCAGGCCGCCGGCCTCTGCCCCCGCGGGAAGCGCACCGGCCCGAGGCGGCGGCAGCGAAAGCGAGGCCGGCCGGCCAAACGGGCCCTAATGGCGGAGAGGCCCGCCCGCGCCTGCGCACTGCGCGCAGCGCCTTGCGGAGCCGAAATGGCGCCTGCGGGCGGCGCGGCTTTCCTCGGGGCGGGCGGGGGCGGGGCGTCCCTGCTCCGGTGGGGCGGCCTCCGGGTTGGTTGCCTTCAGCCGGCCGGGCGCAGGTGCCGTCCTGCGGCATCGCGGTCCGCCTTGGGAGGGCCTCGGCTCAGGAAAAGCGGTTCCCTGAACTCTGCCTTTCCGCCAAGAAAACGGTGCGGAGACGGACTGGGGTGTCTGCATGCCGCGTATTTCAAAATGATGTCTAGGCTGCTATAAGAGTAAAATTTGCTCTCACCCTGAAGCTTATTATTATGTTGTTGTTGTTATTAATATTCCCAGCCCTGAGACTCAAGGCGGCTTGCAAGATTAAATTAGACACACTTAAAGCATTAATGGAATGTACAAAAGTTAAAATATAGTTGTAAAAGATAGAATATAAAAATGATATAAAATACCAAAATAGAAACAACAGAGAGACACTGATGTCATCACACAGGTCCTGACTTTCCCAAGGGCTTGCAGGACAAAAAAGTTATTGCCTGCCTTTGAAAGCATAACAGATAGGGTGCCAATGTAGCCTCCCTGGGAAGGGAGTACCAAAAGCATGGGGCAGCCACCAAGAAGGCCCTCTTCTGTGTTCCCACCAAGCATGGAGTCTTGTAATCCCATCCTATGCAATTCAGTGACAAACCATGGCTTCTGGGCTAGGGTTAGGTAACTGGGTTAGGGTTCAGACAGCACAATTACCACACTTCCATAACAGTGGATGGTTCAACAACAACCAACTCGCCACCCAGCCACCACCTTTGGGAGTGAGTTATCGTGCTGTCTGAACCTAGTTAAAGGAACTTGCTCCCAGTATCACTGCCTTGTCATGGCGAAGGGGCTTGCATAGCTCGATGAAGCTATGAGCTATGCCGTGCAGGGCCACCCAAGATGGACAGGTCATAGCAGAGAGCTCTGACAAAATGTGATCCACTGGAGATGGAAGTGGCAATCCACTCCAGTATCTTTGCCATGAAAACCCCATGGACAGTGCCAAAAGGCAAAAAGATACGGGGTAGCACTTCTTGGATCAAGATTGGCTTTTCCTGTTCCTGGGCTACGTGGTACAAAAACTGGGAGAACAATCAGAGAAATCCAAAAATTTAGCCAAATGTCTACAATTCAGATAGACCCAATCTCAAAAAAATAGAGATTTGTCATCTAAATGAACAGTGGTCTGTTTTACAGGAACTGGAGTACCTCTTGCAATGTAATTTAGTACAGAGAAACAATGGCTGATCTCCATTTCTGAAGACACAAAGGCCAGTGGTATCTCTGATCTCAGATTTATCCTCACAACAAGAACCACCCTGTGAGGTAGGTTGGGCTGAGTATCTGTGACTGGCCTGAAGACACCCAGACAGCTCCATGGCTGAATGGGGGCTAGAACCCGGATCACCTGAGTCCCAGTCCTGCATCTTAACCACTACACCATACAACATGTAGTACCTTAAACAGCAGTACCAACATTCAATGTGTACATGGCAGCTAATAAGGATTCAGGACAGTTCTTTCTGTATTAATGGTTTACCCTGTTCTCTTGGCCTTATAAGCCGTCCCGAGACATTCTCTAGGGAACGGGATAGAAAAGCTTTTTACACACACACACACACACACACACACACACACACACACACACACTAACAGAGCTTCTAAGCTCTGTTAGAGTAAGAACTATCATCATTCTGGTCAACAGGTGACATATGTTTAGCATATTATGATGTTCCCACATACAGAAATGAGAAAAGTCTGGATGCAAAATTTGTACGCCACACACAGAGGTATTGTCTTAAAAAATGTTTATTTTAACTTTTTAACTTTTTAAAATGGCAATATTTCTTTAAGCTGAAATGTCAGCTCACAAATCTTTACAATAAAAGGATGGCCATCTTTCTAACCAAATAAAAGATGTTACATTGGGAGATACGACAGAAAGATTATCTGGTTTTTAAGGCTACTGTAGATGGTTAAAGAATTCCTGCTGGAAGCAGACAGCCATGCTGTCCAGTTTAGGCCATGAAGTGGCGCAGTTTGGTATTTAACTCTTTTTCTTTAGTGAGCAACTCCATGCTGTGCTTCTTGTATGCGTCAAAGTGCAGCCGGAGCTCTGTGTACGCTTGTTGCGCCATATCCAGGCGCCGCTGCAGGTCTCGAACCCGAAGGTTGCTGTCCACCAGCGCCGCCTCTGCCTCAAAGCGCTGCTCTGCCGCCTGCTTGGCCTTCTCCATGTCTTCCGCCTTCTTCTCCAGCTGCAGGATCTCTCGTTGCTTCTCCTGCAGTGCCTTGCCTCTGTCCATTGCCAGGGTCAGCAGTTCTTCCTTCTCACTGGTCAGCTTCTGGAGCTTGGCTTCCAGTCTGCTCTCTGCTTCTCTCAGCTGCTTCTCCGCTTTCTCCAGTTGCTCCAGGGCATGAGTATGTTTCTCCTGTAGCATTTCCAGTTGGCTTCTCAACGAGTTGATTTCCTCCGCATGAGCTTGGGCTTGTGTGCTCTGGACTTCTAGGAGCGCCTTCTCCCGCTCTTGAGCACAATGGCTGTCCTGTTTATGCCTCTCCTGTAAGCTCTCCATTTCCTTGGAGAGCTTTTTGAACTCCAAAGTGAGCTGAGCCAGCTGGGCCTCTTTCTCTTTCATAGGCTGGCTGAACAGGCTCTGGTTTTCCTGACGCAGGCGCCGGTTTTCTTCTCTCAGCTGCATGTTCTGCCGCTTGTGCTCGTCCTTGAAGTGGATCATATCCTCATGGTTGGCGGCCAAGTCCATAAAGCGCTCTTCCAGCTGCTGGACACGCCGTGTCTGGCTCTCCAGCCTCAGAGCATCTGCCATCCGTAGCTCTTCCAGCTCCGTGTTGAGCTGCTCTAGGGCCTTGCTGCGCAGAAGTTGCTCATCCGCTCGCTTCTTCAGGATACAGATCAGCTGAGACTGTTCGTGGAGGCGGGAGCGCAGCAAAGCCTTCTCCCCCTTCTCCCCACCAGAGAGTCCCTGGAGCTTCTCCAAGGCCTCAAAGGGGTCTCCCGAGTCCCATTCATTATCTCCTTCTGCCTCTTTTGCTATTTTGTGGGGGAAGGCCATTCCAGGACGCTTCTCATCCTGAGGCATACTGAGAAACCGCTTTCTCCTGATGCCCTCAACTCAAGCACTTTAGCACTTTCTTTCTAGTAACATTGCACAAATTCTAAACTGACCTACAGCTGTTCCAGTGGGCCAAAATGTCAGTTGGTGGAAACGTTCCAGGAATTCTATGATATCACAAGTCCTGAGCTTTCTAGAACCAGAACACTCATTTGGCAGGTCTCGTTCGACCCTACCAGGTTCATTTTGTAGATGGGAAGCACAGATTTGAAATTGGCAGTGAATTGACACAACACATCAGTCTGTCCAGAAACAAAAGACACAACTTCTTATTATTACAGATATTTCTATAGTGCCTGTAGCCAAAGCTCTTGTGGTTTACAATATTTTAAGTCACCCATCCATATTTCAACCAGGCCCAACCTTGCTTACCTTCCAAGATCAGGCACCTCACGCTATGCTGTCAATTCTGAGTTTATCAGTTCTTGGCAGCATTTATTCACAATAAACTTAAGGATGCACAAATACTAGTATTTTGCAGTGGTGCCTTCCGAAATGCTCTTTGAAGGAAAGCAGTAACAATGCTCCACCTCTGCATGTTTAACACTCTGCTAGTATTCTTAAAGTAAGTCTTGGTTTCATATCTCCCTTCTCAGCTTGATCCTGTGCTGCAGTGGACACAAATCAGCACCCCTTTCAGGAGTGACATCTCAACAGAGGAGGTACAGTTGGTTTCAAAGGGCCAGCTGAAAGAGGGATCAAGCCTGAGTGAAATAACAAAAGCTTGATTTTGAATCTTTAAAAAAAAATCTCTACAAATGATTTGTATTGCACTCTTGTATTGCAGTCAAACAAAGAAACAAACATGTACATCATGATACACACAGTTCTTATTCCAAAATTCCAAAAATGGGCATCCACTTTTCAAATGATCTGACATTGCCATATTCATACATGACTAACAGGCTTTAATAAAACATTTACAGATATTATTTCTTTTAAAGCATTGACCAAAGAGCCCTAAAAATTTCCTTACCGGGACTTCTGCCTTTGGCTGCCTCAGCCTGGCACGCCTCTCAAGTGTGCATCTCCATGGTAATAACGATTGCAACAGACTCCAGCCATCCCATCTGTGGCTGGAGGCGTCGTCCAGCCTGCTTGCAAACTGGCAAGTGGAGCGGGACCAGGGAGGCGGAGGCACAGTGCTTCCTGGGAGTTTGAGATGCCTGGCAGTAGGGGGGTGCGTCCCTGCACCTTTACTGCTGGGAATGGGTACCCTCTCCAGAGCATGAGAACAACCATGGGCATGGGTCTACTGCTGGCAACTCCTGAAGGCTACTGGGCTCCTAAGAACTAGATAAGGAAGAAATAAAGGGACCTGGATGGCGGTAAACATAACACGCTGCTCACTGGAATAAGACTCAGCGGAGGATGGATGGCAGCTGTGAGGGGCTACACCCCCAATGCTTTCACGTGTTCAGTGGATCTTACTCATTAGTAAATGTGTTTTGGAATGCAAACAGTGAAATACATCCCTATTGAGAGGCGCACATTTACACTGAGTTTAATGAGAGTTTCTCCCAGGAAGGTAGGTATAAAATCCCGTTTTCTACTGTTTTCATACATGCAGAAAATGTGGACAAGGAGAAATGTCGCTTTCCCCTGGAGCCCAGAATCATCCAGGACATGGTATTTTTTTGCACAGTGCGTAAACAGCAAAATTCACTATCACAGGCTCTAGTAATGGCCAGCAACTTGGCTCTAAAAGGGATTAGACCAATTCATAGTGGAAAAGGATATCAGTGGCTACTGGCCAGGATGCCTGAATGCTTCCTCCAACGTGGGAAGAATTATGACTCTAAACACCAGTCGTGTCAGGAGCCAGGTTCCTCCTTTGTGCATTCAAAAGCCACAGACCTTTTTCCTTGCAAAGAGTCCTTTATTGACCAAAAAGCACAAAGCACCCAGAAGAAATCTCTGAGCATGCACAGTGCAGTTGTTGAACCCAATCTGGTATTCACCTCCAGTTCTCCTGATGAGCATGCCTGGGCCCCATCCCTTTGGGAGTGGCCATCTGAAAGCAGGCACGTCTCCTCTGCTTGCACCAATTGGGCCACCCTCCTCTGCCGGAGCGCATCATGGGGTCGAGAGCCATGCTCACCTCGCCTGAATCTGAGAAACTCCCCTGCTCCAGGTCCCCTCCCACCAGCTGTACATCTTGGTTCTTCCCGGAGGCTGCCTGCCCACCCGCCTGCCTGCCCATCTCTGCTTCCATCCTCTCAGTGCTCCAGCTTGGCCCACATTCCCACCCCCCCCACCCCCCAATTCTCCTCATTCTGATTCCAATACCTCTGAAGTCCAGCCAGCTCCCAAAAGCAGCCATCTCGCGCTCTCTTTCCAAACAAGTTGGTAGGGAATATGGGAGAGGACTATTGCATTGAAATCCCACGTGTGGACTTCCCGTAAGTGTTTGAGTGCCACTGTGGGAATGGAAGGGTGCACTCAGTAAGTGTTCATCCTGATCCTGCACAACTCCCCTGCACAATGTTTCTCCCCTACAACTAAGGGACAGACTCAGAGTCTAAACATGTTACGCCGGTGGAAGCAAGCATTCACACAACCGGGACACCATTCCCAATAATCACTTATGCAATAGTCAAGTTACCAGAGCTCCCTTACAGAGATGTCACCAACTTGTCCAGTTATGGAAACATTCATTCGAGTGAGTTTCCATTTGCTCTAGCTTTCTTTTGTGCTAGTGCTGCAGCAGTGGTGGAGCAACTGAGCGGCTAATTTCTAGGTCGGGGGGAAGGTCTGCTCCCATCACACCATTTTTCTCTCAGGCTGCTGGTTTCATTGCAACTATTTGCACAATGACCAGCACCTTCAGCATTCAAATGGGAGACTAAGAAACAATATTCAAGAAATGGTATGATATGTAAATGGTAAACAAATGAAGTGGATTACAGAAACCATTACTCATACTGTGAGGCCTTTCTGCATCTCAGAAAGGAACCTATTTTGCAGAGACTGCTCTTGCTAAAAGCACAAATAACCTGCATACATGGGCATGAATTCGAATGTCCTTTTGCAGTCCCAACCTGTGCAAAGGACTACAGAAACATAGTCTGACCCCCGGATCCAGCCGGCTCCGCTCACAACATGCCCACCATGTGCATGTCCAGCCTATCCTTGAACACCCTCACCGATGGGGCCTCAGTCACCTCCCGTGGAAGCCCATTCCATATCCTAGGGGTCCTAACTGTTAGGAAGGACTTCCTGGCATCCAAATTGAACCTTGATACAGAATTGGTGGAAGATCCAACATAAGGCAATGAAGACAGAGAAAAGAAAGTCCAGGTAAGAACACCAGGGAGATCTGGAAAGCAAGTGCTTAAAACAAGTCTCTACAATGCCAGAAGGGGCTGTATTTTATAATTTAATTACCTGTTTTCTGGGATAAAGGGCAGAGCTAATTTCATGTTATGGCAGCAACAGTAAATAGACACAACTATGAGAAAGGCATTTGAAACTTTTTTCCCTCCCCTCTTCAAGGAGGCTCACAATTCCGCTTGCTGAGTTGGATACTTGGCTATGGAAGGGGTGGGTGAGAAGTCTCACTTTCTAGTTTACAAAGAAATCCCAGAAAGATTGAAATGAGAAATCAACAGGAAAATAAATACAGCATGTTCATCTATTTTTCAATTTAGCATTTATTCATCTGAACGCATATGTAGTTTCAATAGGCAGTTGAGTTTAAAAACATTATGCAAATAGAGGTTTTATATCTCCCAACATTCTGTTGCATGCAGCTCTTACACGTTCATTCTTACTTCAGGCTTTTCTGCTTTCTCCAGCTGGTGGCAGTAGAGCACAAGGGAAAAATTCAACACACCCAAATACCCAGCAGCCCATTTTGGAGGTAATGAGGAAGGTTTCGTTAACTATTTTTTTTTAAAGTCCGGTTTTACTTTTGCCACTAATAAAAACCACATTTAGATTTAAAAGAGATGTTTGTGCCAAAGTGCATGTGGCATTTTTAGGGGGCAGAGGAAGGAATCTGTGATTTCAAGGTTAATGAGTAGGGGGAAAAAATAAAAATAAAAGCACATATTTAAAGTTTTGCAGTACAGCTGACTCTTGCAAAGGAAGGGTACCCAAGACTGGAACTAGACTTTGGAGCAGGTCAGCTGCCCTGGAAAAAAACACCCCCATGGTACTACTGCATCTCTTCCCCGTACTACCAAGGGCAGGCTTTCCCAACCTTGAACTCCCTGGATGCGATCACCTACAACTCCCAGCCCACCATGGCTTGTCTGAGAAGGAAACGACCCTCAAACAACCTGGCAACAGGCCAGAAAGCATGGCTTGTCAAGAGGTCAATGCGTGTGGCTGTGAGCTTTCTCTACCCATCACAAGCAGCACGCAATGAAGTGGAGCGCTGGTGGACCGGCTCTCCCTGATTTGCAACTACGACAGGTTTCCTGCCGCAGGACAGTCAGTCCGGTTTGATTTAAAACATGCATAATCATGACTACTAGATAAGACCCCATTACCAGGTGCACTCAACATTGACTGCAGGTATGGAAGAGCAGGAACAGAGCAAGGTGGGAGACATTTCGTTTCGCCTGCCCCATGCATTATTTGCGGTGGACATACAAGACAACTGTACATAATAGTTTAAATACATGTTATATACATACACATACATTTATTGATCTTTAATAAAGCTTACAGAATTTAACTTAAAGTACCTGTGGGCAGACAGGCGTCAAATGTGCACACGCAAGGTCGCGTTTAGCAAAGCACAGTGCTGGCCCCTCGGTTCTCGCCCTTATCTCTGCCTGGCTGTCCTCTCTGGTCCAGCAAGCCACACAAAGCTGTGAGCAACGGCCGAGAGGTATCCTATTTTGTCAGTTTTGCCATCGTCAGCATCCGGAGGGGCAGGGTGTCTTCTACCCACGTGTTTGGCGACTCAATCATTCTCTCCCACAAGTTGGTTTCGTCTAACGTAGAGTCCATCCAGT